ATTTGAATGTTATATGCATTTTTAACAACAAATATATGTTTTAATATTATATGAAACATAAATTTATATATTTAAAAATGAAAAATTAAATATTTTTAAAATGTAATTGATATATCCAAATTAAATTTAATATCAAGAAATCATAAATATTATGATAAGCTATTTGCTTACTTATTTATTTTCACTTATTTGTGAACGAATCAATCTACAGAAGCATTTGAATGCAATCAAAATACAAAGTGAATTTGTAATTTTATAAGAAGTATTTTATATTAAGTTTATAAGAAGAGATCAACCAAATAAGTTTATATTGAAAAACAACTATTGTTATTAATTATTGTTACTTAAATTAAATTATTTTCGTTAAATATTTAATATAAATATATATTAATATTATAATATATTAATATACATTAATAATGATAAAAAGTATGACATTTGTTGTTATTAAATGATAGAATTCACTAAAAGTATATAAATATGTAATAAATAAAATAATTTTGTGATAAAAATGATAAATGAGGTTTATCTATTGTCAATACATTGGTCATTTTCATTTACACCTGAAAAAACAGTCAAAAAACATAATTTTTGTAACTGGGCGGGGCTACCCGACACATTTTGAAAAGAGCTGAAAAACATGTTTTTTTAAATTTCTATTTTTTTAAATTAAACTATTCTTTTTTTGGTTTATTCCTTTTGCATTATTCAATTAAATGATAAAACAATTGAAATATACAAAAATATTGATTATTACTCAATATTATACAGAAATAAGCAATACTCCTTAAGTGGGCGGGGCTACCCGACTCTCCCCTAATTATTAAAGATAAAGATTAAAAAGTGATAGTTGATAAATAAAATATTTCCACAAACTAATTGAAATTGCTTTCAAAACAACAAATGAAATAATTCAGATAAATATGTTTATCGATTTTTCATTACTTGGAGATTTATTGAGAAACCAGAAATTTCATACCTGCCAACTCTTCCGGATTTTCCGGAAGATTTCATTTTCATATTTAAAGTGGTAGGAATACTCAGGTTATTCCTATTAACTTTTTGAATTATAATGATAATTATAAAAGAGTTTGACCACCACTACATATAAATAATTACAATAAATATATAAAAGCGCAATAATCATTGCGCAAGCGAATTTCAACGGGATCAAGACATAAATATATTTTTGAGTCAGATTGTTTTTCGTTTATTGTTTTGCAACCAATCTGAAAATTCGTTCTCGGAAAGAGTGAAAGTTGGCAGGTATGGTATATCTCTTGATTAGAAAAATATGAAACGGAATGAATTAAACTAATAAAAACAGTAAATAACTAAGTAACAAGATATTAACGGAAAAAATATGTCGAAAAACTATTTTAAAGAAAAATATTTAATGAATATTATACTGAGCGAAATACTCGATGAACTACTGGCACTTTTTCCATTATCCAGTCAAAGCCAATATTTCTTTTTATATTTGAGTATAAAAAACGATATAAAAGAAGACAAACAGCCAGCTCATTTTTTAGTTTGTTTTATTGAAATTCAGTTAATTTATATTAATTATTTACTGAAACAAACCATATCTCTTTTATCTAAACTAGAAAGTAGTAATTAATCTAAATAGTTGTTAAATCTTGATGTCTCTTTTTATGGTTAGGTTATACTTAAAGGTGATAATAATTTTCTACGCTTAAAGTTACCCTGCTGAGATCCGCACAGTGTTCGTTCTGGATTACGCATGTTCTATGAGAAAAAGAAATTTGCAATAAAAGGAAATGAAATTTCCATCTCCAGGTGAAACAATCACCTTCAGAAAGGAACAAAACACAATTGATTGAAACAAAAGTTTATTAAATCACATCAAGTTCTTTATGCCCAGTGCGCCATAAAAGCGGACCACCCTGAATATCTTCTGATCTAACGATCGAATCTTCACGTTCTAGGACTCAATCTTAGTGGTTCGATGGGCTAACCTCAAATATGCTAATTAATAAGTGCAGGCGATATTTTAAGTTACGAAATCAGACACAAAAATGTACTTTCTCTGAATAAACATGCCTTTTTTTTAAACGGATTCGGATTTCAGACCACCCAAAATATAGGGTGCAGTCACGATCTAGGAAATTCGGTCAGGGGTGCGGGTCAGGGGAACTTTTGGGAGAAGGATGCGAACTAGGCTGCTATTTGGCGATCGTATGACAAAAATATTTATTTCGCAATCTTCATGTGCATATTTTGAGCATGTGCACTTTATTTCATAAACTTGTTGATATTTCTCTCTTTTTATTGAATAGTTTGTTCTTTTTGAGATATTTTGCTGGGAAAAAGTTTTTAAATATAAATTAGATGGAATAACGAAAGGTATAATAGCTGATGATAAAGCGAAGTAAGTGACTGAAAAAGAATTCACTGTTTGTGTTTGGCTATTTAAAAAAAGACTATTTAAAAAGTGAACAGTTTGAGCGCATGAAACCAAATTCTATTTTAAAAGTGACTGCGAGGAATTTGTCATATATATTTGAGAATTGAATCTGTAGTGACGAGTAAATAAGACAAACTAAGACAAGTAAATACGACAAACTAATCATATTCAAAAATTAAACAAATTTTTAGCCATATATTTGCTACCACTTTCTTATTTTTACTAGATTTTGTATTAAAGGGCCCTTTCGTAAACTAGTTTTCCTCCATAATGGTCTGATCGAACTACCTATAAAAAACCGTGTGAAGGCTTTCCGCGCATTAGAGGTTATCTCGATTTCAAGCGGGGAAATGTTTTTCATCTTACTCCCCCGCGCTGAAATGAACTCTGCGTCCGAGGAAATGGAGCCAAGTGCCAACTCCTGGTGAACGAACTATGCACTCTCATGGTGTTGCACTAATATCATAAAATAGAGATTCCGCATTCATAGGAATGAATAGTTAGTTCATCACGAACTTTTCATTTCGCTTGGAACTGTATCTTGCTCTGATTTACCTCTTTCGAAGACCATCGTTTTTCTCGGACAACAGTTTTTTTTTTCTCTTATTTTGCTTTTATTTCTTCCCTTTCATTTTTTTTCCATATTTTTCGTTGACAACTTTGTGTTTCTTCAAAAATTGTGTTTTGTTTTTTATTATTTAATTTTATTTTATATATTTATTTATTGGGAATAAGTACTTTGTTTTTTGTGCTCGAACCTTAACTTTTGGAGAAAATGAAATTTTTCCACTGTCGTGTTTCAGTCAGGTTAAAGTTATGTTGTCAAGTGTAGTCAAGTTAAAAAGGTTCGAGAATATGGTTCAATTAGGCATCACGTCAAAAATTGCAGCAAATTTAAACGATATTATGGTTCAAAATGGTTAAAAAATTTCAACAATGTGATACTAATGAACTAAATTTTCGAGATTGCAAATTCTGAACACGTTTCCAACTAAACGGTTATTTTGCCGGATTAGGTGAAAACAACCAAAGAAATTTTTAATTTTTTAGCTGTCTGAAATAGTTTGAAAATGTTTTGCTACACTTTACAAACTCTATTCTGCATTTATTTAGCGAAGAACGTAGGTTATCTTCTAACTCTTTTCTCAGACATGCGTGGCAACAGTTGAAAAGTCTCTTGTACGAAAAAAAAGCATATATTAGCTGATACAAACAATATTAGTGAAATGCAATAAAAATATTAATGCTTCAGAAGGCATGATTTACTTCAGTATTTTTTTCTTTTAAAACATATAAATTACTTACAACACAAAAAAAAGTTAGATCCTTAGTCTACAATATTATTTTTTCATCAATATTTTTTGAAAAAATTTTAAATATATGAAATAGTCTGTGAAGAAATTTGAATAACGTTTAACTGAACATATACCCCAACAACTTTTTAATGTTTGAGTTCAATGTTGAATCCAATCAACTTAAATGTATCGTAACAATAAAATATATTTATGTAAATAAATGTTTTATTTAACTTAAGTCTAAGTTTTTATGACTGGAAACTACTGTCGCAATACGATGCTGGTAGCGAAATTTTCTAAACTTTTAAAACAAACAAGAGTTTAGACATAAATCCTGACAAAAATTGAAGAAAATTCTCTGAGAATATCAAATTCTCCAAAGAAGACATATTAATATAAATTACATGACAAAGACAACTCTATTTAAATTTTATTTTCAAACAGCACAACTTTTCTAATTCCTTTTCTTTTTCATTTCTTTTCACTGTACAAAACAAAATGATATTGCCTTTCCTGACTTTTAAGTTAATTTCAAATTAATTTTATTAACAGCTTGACTTTCGACACAGATATCCTAGTTCAGTTTTTTTTAATATATACATATAGCCAATATTAATGTCACCACGATGTATTTTCTTCAAATTTATGATATTACTTTAAATCTATAAAATCTCTGGGCACTTTCAATGTCAGTTATAAAAATCAAAAAATAGTTTATAATTATTTTAAGAAAATATTTCACAACTTGAAACGTTTCATTAAGTTTTAATATTTAATCATTTACATTGGTATAAATATTGTGTTCTCCATTTAGTGCTTCGGTATATTCTCTGATTTATGGATGAGATAGCACGAAACAATTTTTAAAAAGATCGGTATTTATTTTGAAGATATTTCATTTTAAATATCATTGAAGTATTTAATCTAAAAATATCATTATATATCATAGTTCTTCCAAAAAAAAATTTATTCAAACAAAATAAACTTATAAATGAGTAAGTTTAATGTCAAAATGACATAAGACTTCATATGAAGACCTTCACATCTGGTTTTCCAGTTACAATTCAATATGAGAAGCACATTAATATCAATAGCTTTTTCAGGTATATAATGATGAACAATGGTTGATTTTTTAGATTGCACCTTTTAATATGGTAGGTTTTCTCTTTTATACATCTAAAATTATACTTTAGAGTGGCATATTGGCAGGTGGTGTAATACTATAAGTACTGCCAAACATTTTGCATTTACATACTTGCTTAAAATCCCAGTGATAGGTAAACGGATTTTTTCCTATTTCTATCAACATGCGTATAAACCAAACTGCTATGGCTCTAGTTATTGCTAAAAGAGATGCTGGTGATAACGCCGATATCGAAGCCGAGTTTGAAGAATCGATGGAAGAAATCGAGTCTATGAAAAAAAAATGTAAGGCTTTAGAGTATGGGACTCATACAACAGGACTCATTACCAACCTTATTGGTGATATTCCGGACATACCCTTGGTTACGGATACAGTACAAGTAATTGGTTCAGGAGTAGCTGCGGTAGCTCATGTAGCTGAATTTGGAATGAATATTGCCTCAACTGCAATGGAATGTGACGATTGGAATTTTGAGGAAGTAAAAGCGATTATGGAAAAAAGGTTTAGTGAAACGGATCGAAAACTTGATAAGATGATTGAGGCTATGGAAAAAGTAACAGAAATGGCAACCAAAACTTTTGATAGCGTTGAAAAAACTAGAGCAGAGATGAACTGGGGATTTAAAAAAGTACTAGCCTCGTTGAAAAATCTCGAAATGCCAGCGATTCTCAGTAAAATTTACACATTTACTCGGTATTTTGAAGAAAAGAGAAGTGAAATAAGCACACTTCCAATAAACCAATTTGTTTTCCGGTTGAAAGAAAAAGGTGGCATTCTCGACTACTTGAAAAAGGTGAGAATGCCAGAAGGATTGCATTCTGACTTGTTTGAACTTATGGATAAGAATAATAACTACGCTATTCCTGAAAATGCTGAAGACTCTAAAGCCTTTCAAGCATTATATGCCTTATTTTATGGAACACAAATTTATGCATCGGTTATGTTCTTCTTACTGAAACAGCATTCTTACCTTGCCGACTACTACTATCAAAGAGGTCAAGATAAAGAGTTTAATAATGAATTTGATACCTTAATAACTACGTTCAGTGAGTTTAAGACGTCACTTACTGGAAATAAAGGTCTAATTAATGAAGTCGTTAAGACACTAGACGAAGTAAAAGACAAACATTTTATTAAAAATGTTAAGAATAAACTTTATAAAGACATATCTAAGAGAGCAGAGGCTTTGAAAGACCTCAAAAACAGAATAACTAAAATGGTATTAAATGTAATACAAGATACACCAGAGCCTGTACTTGATATCGACTTTATTGAGCCTAATATTCAATCAAATTATGGTGATTGGGATGATATGACTAAAGTAAAGTACGCAGTGCAGCTAAGAGCAGATGGGGTATACTCCAAATTAAGTGATTGGACTGAACCATTAAAGGTGGAGGGAAAAGCAAATCCAACTCTCCAAGTACCCCGAGATGAAAAAGGAAGAGAGAGGCTTATATTTCGAAAATTCAATGAAGAAAAGCCTCAGTTAGTAGCAATTTTGAGAAAATCCCAAGGGGAATTTCGAGATGTTAATCGGGATATTTATAACGCCGCTAGAAGCAAAGACCAAACTAAACCGATTGAATATATCCCTAAATTACTTGAAGTAGGAGGCGATATCGCTGCAACTTTCGAAATGAAAAGAAGCTCCATGCATGCTGCAGCTGAAAGTGGAAACGTAAAAATTGCAATGCGGTTTCTTTTAGACGAAGCAGAAGAATTAATCAACGGAAAAGATGAGAAAGGATATACACCAATGCATATAGCAGCGAGTACTAAAAACGCTGGATTCGTAAAGTTTTTACTTATCCATAATGCAGACGTAAATGCCCAAACTACTTCAGAAAAATTAACAGCACTACATATAGCAGCTAAAAGTGGCTATCCTATTACTGTTAAAAACTTGCTTGCTAGCGATAAAATCGAAATAAATAAACCTGAAAAGTCAGGGTACACACCTTTACATTACGCTGTACGTGGCACCGCAAAAACAATCAAAATGATACTTGCTGATGAAAAAGTCTTAGTAAATGCTAAATCAGACTTTGGCCTGACTCCTTTTCACTTGGCTGTTATGAAAGGTGATCGAGAAATCTGTGATGCTTTGTTAAGCAGTGGTAAAGTAGAAGTCAATGCTGGAAACAGAGATTACATGACGCCACTTCATTTTGCAGCGATGGCAGGAAATGTAAACATGATTAAGTACCTTCTTTCAGGAAAAAAGAAAGTCGAGGAGGTAAATGTCAACGCTATAACGTCAGATAATAATTGGACTCCTCTTTATTTCGCAATTTATTTTAAACAAGAAGAAGCTGCCCTTGAATTACTGAAAAGCGATAAAATTAAGATTAATATAACTTCCAAAGAAAAGTACACTCCTCTACATCTTTCCGTTGCAACTGGGCAAGTTAAAGTATTTGTTGAATTACTGGAAAAAGATCCTAATCTCGAATCATTAACAAAAGAAAGGTTCACTGCTCTTCATCTTGCAGCTTTACGACCAGAAACAGAATTTACTGAAAAGTTGCTGAATAAAAATGCAAATATAAATGCTATAGCAGATGACGGTTCTACTCCTTTACATTTAGCATCAAAATTTGATCAGAAAGACCAAATACTAGCTTTAATAAATAATGGAGCAAATATGAAACTGTTTGATAACAAGAAATTTTTACCATTGCAATATTCTATTCAAAATATGAATTTGGACGTCATGAAAGCAGCCGCAGAAAAAGATCCAAGTATTATTGATCCTGATACCATTGAGGGCAAAACAATTGTGCAGTATTGCCTGGAATATGTTTTTTCAGGCATTCATCATTACTACAAGAATAAAGACTCCGTAGAATATCAAAAATACAAAGATCTTCAGCCATTAGAAATATTTGAGAAGGAAGGATATTATGATGTTATTAAGTTTGCGCAAAATGTTAAATTGCCAGAGGATGAAATCAGACGAAATGGAACAATTGCTTTCCTTGACATAATGGCGCGTGGTTGCATTGAAAAAGAAAACGATCCAAGTGAAAAGCAATGCAGCTTTGTTGACGTCCGTATTCGTTCTCGACGCGACATTGGGAGCAACAACTCTGAAGACCATCCGAATTCAATAAAACTACATCCGATAAATTCGATCCGAAAATCCATTAGTACCAACTGGAACGTAAGCAGTCCGGCGTTGCTTGCAATGAATTCAAACGAAGGCAGTAAATCTTTTTTAAACGGTAAAGATTCATTGTTGCGAAGTATTGATTCAAGTGGTATGTTGCTGTTAATGGATGTGCTTGTTAGAAAACTTACAAACGTAAAGTATAATACGAGTTTTAACAAGCCGGTGTCCAGCTTAAAATCTCAAGCAGCTGCATTGAATATTGTTGAAAAATTTATTGATTTTGTAGATTCTGTTAGTGATGTACCAGCGGAAGAGTTAATGGATCTCGCTAAATTGCACTCAGATGTATACAAATCTATAGAAGGGGGAAACAGCATCAAGATATTTGATCTTTTGTGTGAGCATTTAAGAAGTATTGTAGATTCGGGGCAAGTTATAGCTTTCTTATCAAGTATCAGAACCAACAAAGAAGACTCAGATGCCCACACGCAAGGAAATTACGTTGATGCTATAGCGCAGTATTGCTTATCTGAAGTTAATAAGAGTAATGCAACCTAGTTTCTGACTTTAACTTCTTTTTTAGTTAATGGTAATGCGTTTTATTTAAACCAGAATCTTTGCACTTTTCTATGCCCTATCTATATTTAAAATGCATAATAATGTTTCTGTTTTCACGACTGCAATATTTGTTACAAGTGTAATAATATTTAAGTTCATTTAATTGCACTTAGTTTTTGATTTTTATCTTGATGTCATATATTTATTTCACTTATTTAAAGCGAAATAAGAACTTTTGTATTACAATTATTTACTACTCTCTTCTATGCCTCAATTTAAATATTTAAATAAATAAATATTCAAGTAAATAAATATTCAGATAATTTATTAATGCAATATGTTTAATACTAATGAGCGAAATGTAGTCTAGTTTTTGTCTAATTAAAACTACTTTATTTTTATAATGGGAAAGAGATTTTTTTCTTAAAACTATTTGCTACTGATCTTAATACTTAAATTTTCAAAATATCCATAAAAATATCTTAAATTTTTTGATTAAGAAAAATTAATTTAGTTTTTAAAAATTTAATTTTTGGTGATTCATTACATAATAAATAGAACAATTTCGAAAAAGTTATTAATTTAACATCAGTTAATATAAAATTTTCTTCATAGCTATAAATGTAATAGTTGTTAACACTTTCTATGAGAGTGGTTTAAAAACTTCATTATAAATAATTTGTCTATTATTTATTTTTGTTTATTATTTATTTTCTGTCTCTTATATTTAATTTCCCATTTTTTGATTAAAAAAAATATCATTTTTTTTTACATTTAATTTTTGAAACATATGATTAATAATCACTTATTTTGCATAACTAGGTTAAAAATCTTTAGAAACAATTTTAAAATATCAATATCCAATGACATGCATTGAAATTATTGTCACATATATAAAATAACACGAATTGTAACCATTGATACACATTATTATTTTGAAAGAGAGTGATTTTTTTCATATAATTATTTACTACTGTCCTCAATTTTTAAATCTTTATAAAAATCTATCAAAATGATTTAAATTTATTTATTAAAACAGGTTTAATTTTTGGTGTTGCATTACCATTAAACATACATAAAATTTTTAAAAAATATATGTATTTCGTAGCAGTTAATATAAACATTTTCCTCATATATATATATAAATTGAATCATTTGTCAATACTCTCCTCTAATATTAGCTATATATGAAGATTATATAGTATATTATCTATTATATAGATTATATAGATTATATAGTAGAGATTATATAGATATAAATAGTGTATGGTAAGCTTGATATGAAGTCTTCTAATACAGACATTCTTTTCAGTTATGTAAAACAGACTAAAAATAAAAATCTCAATTTGAATTCAAGCACTGAAATATTTGAATGTTGCCGAAAGAATTTACAATGATACTCTCCTGTTTGAACATGTACTGTACAACTTGTTGCAAACTTCCTTGTTTCAATGCTAAATAGTTACAAACTTTCTAGTTTTATTGCTTTAATAATTTTTTATGCTTTATTAATTTAATATAAGACACAGATCTAAGCAAATTGCAATGTTTTCTCTAAGAGCGGATCTCCCTGCCAGCCCTTTATCCCTTTAAATGCGCCTTCTTTGCCCTTTTTGTAAAAATAAGCCACCATCTCGTAACTATGCCTTTTTATACATATTGCATAATTGTTTCATTACGGGCAGGGTTCATTATAAGAGGGTATAAGAGGGTAATTTACAAATTGTTGAGGATCAAATTCAGTTATAACATTATGATACACATTTTGATAAATTTTTACAGCGTTAAGTGAGTGCCCTTACAAAACTCTAAGTGCCTTCTTCTGTGATGAAGCTCTCTGCCCTTTTTTTATTCCTAGGAAGAACTCTGCAAATTGCACTTTTGTTTTTTTAATGAGTGATGTTATTGAGAGAAAAAAATTATAATGGTACTTAATATACTTAATATAATAAATTTTGCATAGATTGCTGAAGATTGCTCTTGATCAGTTTATAGAACTGTTACTGAATATACCATTACATCATTATTTATTGTGTTTCCAAAGTCATTTGAAAAACTGACTTTATAGATTGCTCTTGATTGAATGATTTGATAGATTGCTCTTGATCAGTTTATAGAACTGTTATTGAATATACAATTACACCATTATTTATTGTGTTTTAAGTCATTTGAAAAATTTTTAGTTTTCGTTTTAAAAATCATATACACGCTTAGCATAAGTTTTAAGAAGAGAAATATGCAGTGAGAAAAAAAGTATTATCAAAATTAACAGATTATGGCACAATTAACCATGTTTTTGGTACTATCGGAACACCAAAAAGTTTGGTAATTTTTACCAGAGCACCTTGGTATATAATAATAAAACATGGTTTTATAATATGTCATAAAATTTGATAAATGTGGTAACATTTGGTAATTTTATTAGGATACCTTAAAGCATGTCATAAAAACTATTTATTCGATTCAATTTACTTTTCAGTTTTGTTTTCTTTACTAAATGTGCAGTAATGAAATCTATAATTTTAAAACAAGAATTTCCGGTAAACCGTTACCATGCGAATAGAAAATTTTCAAAATGAATGATTTAAAAATAACAAGTTTTACCAATAATTATTTTTGTTTCAGTCAGAATTATGATTACTTACAGTACGGTAATTTTACTAGAATTTTATTCTGACATAAAAGATAATTGCTTAAAAAATCATTAAAATATCTTAAAATCAATAACTATCTATATTTTTAAAATAATAATAGCCTTATCAGATCATATCTGTATAAGAATTAAAAATTTAAAAAAAATATCTAAATAAAAATGAGCAAATGTTGAACAGTAAAAACCATTGAAAAATAAACTAGAAAAGTTTTCTTAAGAAATGGACGCACTGGTATAGCGCTCTAAGATAAGGAAAGACTTTTTTCCAATGTAACAAGCTCGTTCCAGTTTTTGCTTCTGACAAGTTTTTTAATGACGGAAATCATTAAGAAGTTTCAAAAAGGGTAAAGAACCTCTCAAAGAACATTGCTACTGAATCTTGACAGAAATGGAATGGATAAAAAATGTTACCGAAAAATGTTTCTTAAGATCTTATCGTAAGTTCTAAGATTTAAAACTCAGAAAAATCTGTTAAAAATACGTTTAGGCTATGTATAAAAAAGAGCAGACTTTAAAAACAAAGCGTTAAAGACTTTTAAAGCAAGATAAATATGTTTTAATACCTATGTTTAGCGTTTAAATTAAAATTCACGTAGTTTTAGAAGTGGGGTTGAATGTTTAAATTAGGAATGATGTTATTGATCATGATAATAGCACATTTGTCTAAAAATGAATGCTGTTAAAACCAGCTTTCAAATTTTCGCATTTAGCTCATTTTATTTCTACACTGTAAAAAATTCGTTCACAAATTACGCTATAAAATATCTGCAATTTAGAATCCATAAAATTCATTATTAAAGGATTATATTTCACCGAAATTTTCATAGTAATATCTATTTAATTAGGGTGATTTTGAGATTTTACAGTAATTATTACCGTAAAAATTACGGTGTATCAGATTTACCGTAATTTACCATGATTTGATCCCAAATTTCTGACAGTGTACCTAGTTGACTACCAGCTCATCGTATGGGATAAAAACATCAAGAATTAACTAATCAATATTAATCAACACAACGAAATCGCGCTCAAAACTGAAAGTCATATATCAGTTAAAAACTTCCAATTTCTTTTTTTATTATTATTTGTTGCCCTTCCCTACAGTTTCTCGTTATTAGATGATCAAGAATATTAAATTATTAGAATTTCAACTCATCAAAATAGAGATTAAATGCACTGAGTACCACTTAATATCAAGTATCAAGCATTTCGTTAGTAAATTTGAACTTTAGTAAGTAACTTAATTTTTCATTGCAATTGGATACCTAAAAGTGACTTCGTCATAGGTAAATCGCAGCCCTTGTCGATTCAGAAGCCTATCAAGTTAGACACACGCGTGACGTCACTTGCAGGTATTCAATTAAATTTTACTTAAATCATACGGTTAGGCATGATTATTTCATTTCTTATCGAATTTCAAATACCCATTATCGTTGTTTTTTTTATTATTATTTAGGTTCATAGAAACACGTTTCAAGATCGATTTTTTGAAAATAACAATCACGTGGTTCATGATTTTATTTTTTTCAAACTAATGGAATACCTGCAAGTGACGTAGTGTGGGTATCTCAACCCTCATTGGTTGTTGAATCGTGACATTTGTTTACGTTAGCATCTGTTCATTCCATTCTATTTTGAGTAAGCCAAGCCCACCAAGGATCAATTCTCTTAAGTGACACATTCTAAATTCTTTCATTAAGATTCTTTCTCATAGGTTTCAATTATTTCGCTATATATTTGCGCAGAGACTAAACACAAACAATGGCATATGGCACGACGCCATATGGAACCTAAACAAACTAACTAGGCATCGAAGTTGACAGGTACACAAAATAAAAATATATATCACGGTTGCAATAAAATACATAAACAAATAATAAATCTAAGTTAAGTGAACGAAATAGACAAGAAAGAATTATATTTCAGCTAGCTTGATGTGCATTACGGCTCTGTATTTGATTAACTTATCGTGAATTAAAATTCTAACTTGCGTAGAACAACTCAACTCAACTTTAACATGCCATTTTACTGATAAAGATTAACAATTAAGTTACTGATCAAATTCAGTCTTATCCTGAGCAAATAGAAACATTTGAAAAAAAGTAACAGAGAAGGACGGGCAACTTCGTTTTCAATTCAACACAGTTATACACCGAAGAGCCATTACATTATGACCACCCTCCATCTATAACAATGGGCTCGCCCAGGTTTTCATGGTTTCTCGCCCAGAAACAATGTTTTAATGGGGCACATTAGGACCCACAATCCTCAGAGAACAATCCCTGACGTCTGTAAGCTACTTGAACATCGTTCACCCAGTCACGGCAACAGTTTTTCCTGCGGGGGATGGTGTTTACCAACAGGATAATGCATCCTGTCATAAGGGTCGAATCGTCGAGGAACACTCCAGTCACTTTCAAGTCAAGTCTTGGCCCCCAAATTCACCTGACCTTAATCCAATAGAGCATTTGAGGTCCTACTTGGAAAACCAAATTCGTGCTGCAACGCTA